CACCGTAGAACTTTCATCTGGCGATGGATGGAGATAGAGACAGAGACCCACATTGGAGCACTGGACTTAGCTCCCAAGGTCCAAATGAGGAGCAGAAGGAGGGAGAACATGAGAAAGGAAGTCAGGATCACAAGGGGTGCGTCCACCCCCTGAGACGGTGGGACTGATCTAATGGGAGTTCACCAAGACCAGCTGGACTGGGAGTGATGGAGCATGTGATCAAAATGGACACTCTGAATATGGATGGCAATGAAGGCTGACTGATAAGCCAAGGACAATGACACTGGGTTTTTATTCTACTGCATGGACTGACTTTGTGGGAGCCTGGTTTGTTTGGATACTCACCTCTATTGACCTGGATGGAGAGGGGAGGACCTTGGACTTCCCACAGGCAGGGAACCCTGACTGCTCTTAGTACTAGAGAGGGAGGGGGAGGTGGGGACGGGAAGGGAAAAAGGAGGCAGGGAGGAGGTGGAAATTTTTAATAAATAAGTAATTTTTTTTTAAAAAAAGGAACACAGATGGGCACAGCCTGAGCTCTACACATCCCATCTCTCACAGTGATAGAACACAGAGCTTTTATTCTCTGAGTTTGAGCTGCAGTGGGATCCAAAATCATCTAGCACATGTCATGGTGCCCTGGGATGCCCTGGTGGGTAGGCAGCCATGAGGGACAGTAGTGCAGGAGGAAGTGACTGAGAGACACTCCTAGCTCAGGCTGTGGAGGCATAAGGACAGGCAGCTCTGCCTCCTGTTACCAGAATGACATTGGCTCCTCTGGATGACTGCTGAGCATGAGAGTTCTGAGTAGGTGCCTGGCAGATTTTTGGTTTCTGAAACTGACTCATGGTGCAATTTGTGTGCAGCAAACGGGGCTGAGAGCTGGGAACCCAAGTGAAAGGATTACTGTTTACACAGCTTTTTCCTTATTGTTTGGTGGTTTGCTGCTGCATAGGATCTGAAAATGCTTAGGCAAAAAGCTCAGCTCTCAGAACTTCTCTCCATTGTGGAACTCCATGCTCTGTTTGTCATATCCACTTCTCCAAAGTGTTGATCTGATCGAAAAATGGAAATAACCAGGCAAGCTTAAAGTCGATGAATATATTTTATTTATTATAAGGGGAAAACTCACGCCACAGGAACAGAAGATCCAGGCTCTGCTTGACAGCAGGGGAAGCTACACCAAGAGTGCACCTGGGTGTTGCACAGGTTTTTAATCTCTTGGTCCCAGAAGGCCATGCCTAAACTGGGTTCCACCTCTTAAAGATTATTGGTTAACAAGGCTTTCCCCATCACCAAAGCATCCAGGAGACACTGTTTTATTTAGACAAACCAACAAATAGAAGTGACAACCTGGACCACAGCTGACAAAACCCATGCCACTAGTTCTGGAGAAGACTATACAAGAAGGGAGGGCTTTAGGGTGAATGATATTCTGTTTCTACATTTTTTAAGGGCTTGCTCTTTTCTCTTATTCTCCTTTTCTTTTTCCTAACTTTACTTTCTATGTATTTTAGTTGTTGTTGTTGTTTATTTGATACAGGGTTTCTCTCTGTACCACTGGCTGTTATTGAACTCACTCTGTAGACCAGGTTGGCCTTGAACTCAGAAATCCACCTGCCTCTGCCTTTTGAGTACTGGGATTAGAGTCATGTACCACCACCTTCTGTCCATTATTTCATTATTACCATTATGGTTATTGTGGGAAGTTGGCTCTGGTATTGTTACTGTGGTCTATTCTGCACTCTGACAAGTGCTCTCTGTAGAGAGAAGCTTACTGTAAAATCCTCACATTAGTGTGTGATGTAGGACGTTCTTCGGTTCATGTGTTGCTTTCATTGGTTAATGAATAAAGAAACTGCTTTGGGCCTGATAGGGCAGAATTTAGGTACGGGGAGAAGACAGAACTGAATGCTGGGAGAAAGAAAGCAGAGTCAGGGAAAAACAATAGATCCTCCAGAGTCCGACTTGCCAAATCTTTCCCAGTAAGCCACAGCCACATGGTGATACACAGAATAATAGAGATGGTTTCAAGCCTGCTCCCATGGAGATCGCTGGCTCAGGCCTGCTCCAGCAAAGTTTGCTAGATTGGATCTATTACTGTGAATGTCCCTGGCTGATACATGATCCCACAGAAGCTCCTGGCTTGGGCCCAGTTCCACAGGGGTCTCTTTCTCAGGCCTGCTCCCTTAGTGGTCACTCCCTTCTACTTGATCTTCTAGAGGTGGCTAGCTGGGGCCTGCACCCATGGAGGTCACTGGATAAGGCCTGGTTCCAAGGAGGGCACAAACTCAGGCCTGCTCCTTTGGAGGTAACTACCTCATAGCTGTTCCGGCATTGTTCCCTGGCTCAGGCCTGCTCTGGCAGAGGTTGCTGGCTTGGACTTGCTCATACAGAGGTCCTTGGCTCTGGACTGCTCTGTCAAGGACCCTGACTCAGGCCCAGTACCTCAGAGGTGTCTGGCTCCAGCTTGTTCCCTTGGTAGTCACTCCCTCATAACTCTGAATCAGGAATTGTAATACCTCTTGCTTTTGAAGGAAGATGCTTGTTCGTTTCCTGCTGCTCAGCCCTAAATAATGCCACAGAAACTATATTATTTGCAATACTGTTTGGTCAATAGTTTAGACATATTTCTGGCTAACTCATATCTTAAATTAACACATCTCTATTAATCTGTTTATCACTACAAGGCTCTGGTTTACCAGGTAAAGTTCTGGAGTCTGTCTCTGATGGGGTTACATGGTTTCTCCCTGACTACACCTTCTCCTCCCAGCATTCAGCTTAGTTTTTTCCACCTAGCTAAGTTCTGTCCTGCTATAGGTTCAAAAGCAGTTTCTTTATTCATTAATGGTAATCACAGCATACAGAAGGAAATCCCACATCACCTCCTACAAACATACCTAACTCCATGATAGCTCTCTCTCTCTCTCTGCCTAAAAATAATAAAAAATTCAAAATCAAAACAAACTAAAGAAAATCAATAACACAATAAATACCAAAATGAAACAAAAAAATTACACAAAAACCACAAGGATTCTGTTTCATGTTGGCCAGTTAACAATACAAAATTCCCAACATACAATTACCCACTCTGTTCCTGGCCATGCGTGACAGTTATGTGGTCCCAATAGTCCATCCAATTGGGAGAAGCGTAAGAACCCTGTTAGAGAGCTGTTCTGCAAGTTGGTGCTACTCACAAAGAAAAAGAGCATGTCTATAAGAGAATACTGGTAAGGTGGCAGAAAAGAATTTGGAGTTCTTTGGCTGATTAACAAAAGAGTGGGTCCCTAAGGAGGGGAGTTGGGCTTGGTGAGTGGGGTGTCACATGTGGACAGACTGCAGCAGGACTGAAGGTAAGTCTAGAAAGACCAGAATGGAGGACAGGAAGGAGGATGAAGCCTCCTCCCTAAGTTCTAGCTTAGTGTAGAAGCTGTGGGTCCCTGCTAAAGAGAGTTTGTGGGTCAGCACAGTCAGAAACGAATGCAGATGGGCTAGAAGGAACACTGAAAGAGACAACAGGAAAATCTAGGGGCACATCGAGTCTGCACCAAGAGCCAAACTGGACTTTTTGTTACACTGTACATCAGTTTGTAAGATATTTAAAACCACATATATTGCTGATCAGTACTATGTTGTTATGGGAAAACACTGAATGAAGAATCTATGAATATAAATTATAGAAACCCAAGAGAAATAAAGACTTTGAAGGTACAGATATAGCAGCTATTAAGCCATAGTCTGTAATCTCTAGGATTGCAAAAATCTTGGAAATAAGGTGATCTAGGAGTGGGCAAGGATTCCAAGAGGCAGTTTCTACAGATACTGATCTGTAAGGCAGGGCCCTAACATCTGTGTCTCAGCAACGTTCCTCAAGAGAGCCTCTTGCCAAATTCTATACCACTGCATTAACACGAAGCTTAAGTGACTTTTCAGATCAAATGTCACAAGAGCCATTTAATATCAAAATAACCCTGTCATTTTATAGCATCTATAGCCAAGACCTCCAGTCAACACTCCAGAGTCATTACATCACCACAGAGAAGTAACCACCTGTCCTGATTGGTTTTATGACAAGTTGACACAAGTCAGAGTCATCAGAGAAGAAGGAGCCTCAATTGTGAAAATGCCTTCATAAGGTCTAGTTGTAAGTCATTTTCGTAGTAAGTGATCAATGGGAGATGGCCCAGAAACTGTTCATGGGGTACCCCAGGATTGATAATCCTGACTTCTATAAGAAATCAGGCTGAGAAAGCTATGCTGATCAAACCAATAAGCAGCAACCCTCTCCATGGCACCTGTGGTAGCTCCTGCCTTCAACTTCCTGTCCTGCTTGACTTTCTGTCCTGATTTCCATCGGTGATGAGCAGTGATGTAGAAGTATAAGTGAAATAAACCATTTACTCCTAACTTGCTTTATGGTTATGTTATTTCTTCAAAGTAATACAAACTCTGAGATACCATCCATAAATCTTATTTAATGACCTCATCAAAGATGTTTCCATTGTCACTCATGCGGATTTGTTTTTATTTTGTTTTGAAGTACCATCTTTTGCAGTCCAGGGTAGCCTCAAATATCCTATCTACCTGAGAATGACTTCCTTCTCCTCTAATTCCTAATGACTTCCTTCTCCTTCACTTCTCGTTGTCTTTATTCTGGCTATTTTTTTACCCTTACAACTTATACATCCCAGCAGAATCTTTCAAACAATATAAAAATGACAATGCGCTTACGTTATGCTTTTAACTGAATGATTACAATAAATATAAGTAAGAAACAATATGTTTCCTATTTCCCTTACATGATTAAACATTAAACAGGTGAAAAACAATTCCTAAGCACCCACAGACAGTTGATAATTATGTTTTAGACTTCTCATAGATCAGGAACATTTTAGTCATAGCTACTTATCTAGGCAATAGTTTTTAAAATTGCCTGAAAAACAGATTACTAGGTTCACTTTTCATATTTTAGAGCCCTGTCTCAGTATGCAAATTAAACATAACATTATTTTCTACTACATGAAGTCAATTGTTTACAGCTTTCTTTCAGCTATGGTACACACTAATATTGAGAACACATTTCCCAATATCAAAAAGAATTTGAGCTAAATCCTGGAACTCAATTGTTTTCCCTAATTATTATCCTAAACAATAGTCTATGTGCTTCCTAAGAGAAACTCTTAAGTTCTAGTTTTAAGACAATTCCTTGTTCCTATTTCCTGTCCTCTCCAGTGCCTGCTGTATAGGGGCTGTGGACAACACTGTTTCCTATGTTTACCTATATTAATTATCACACTAAACTAACCTCTATCATATTTCCTTAGCATATTTGGTAAGAACCCTCAATCATCAAAATTCTATTTGAACTACCACTATTATTGTAAAATCAATACTTCAGCTAAACAATACAGTTTATGAGGAAATCATCTTCATTATAATCCACAGGTACAACTCAACTGCCTTGTAGTCCATAATATTTCCATGAGAAAATCGCACTACTTTATAGACATTGGGAATCTTCTTAAACTCACTCACACCATGGCAAATACCAGAGAAAAATGGCAGCAGCAAAAATGTAAAGGCACAGCAGTAGCCAGAGATTCTGGAGCCAAAGCCCTTAGGGCCTTGCCTGTCCATGATCCACCCATCAGTGCCTTGGATTCTGGTGAGCCAAACTCCTGAAATTCAAGAGCTACCTACTGCTCCTCAGACATGGTCACACATCGGTAAAGTTTTAATTTTTTAAAGTCAGTTTAATTCAAAGAAAGTGGAAAACTGATTAAAACAAATGTCTCTTTTTCATAAAAGCTAGTAACCTCAGATAGGTAAATGATAAGAGGATAATCGTTATACAAGCTAATGCCACGTGATTCCCCCAGACGCTCCACGATGAGAGGTCGGTGCCCTGGATTGCCATGTATTCTTCTCCAGTGCATCTGTAAATCAACACACACAAAAATAATGTCAAAGCTTATTCCGTACATCCACCGCTCCTCACTTTTGAATACCCAGTTTCAGCACTTCATTAAAAACTTAATCTTTATGTTTCGTTGAAAGTACTGATGTACTTACATTTTTGTTATATGTCAATCTAAACTACTTGAATGAGGTCCCCTTGTTATTTTCAAAAAACATCCAAAGAAGCACAGTTATTACATCTATTTAAAAGCATAGAAGAAGTAGGCTTAGTAAACATGGATGAGTTCCGACAATCACACTAAGTTCCAACTTTGTAGTCGTAAATGTATCATTCATTTCTAAATCTAACTTGCTGTTCTCTCTTCAAAGTACAAAGGCACAGATGAAGGACTTGTTTCTGCCAAAGCAGAAAACCTCAGCTTATAATCACACACATAGACACTCTAAGAGACCAAAACTTTGTGTAATTCTGCTGACTCAGCACACAGTCTGGCAAAAGAACGCAGTGTCAATTTCTAGAATGAGGACCTGAGGAGAAGAAGGGTTTCTGAGAGGGGTCAGTCAACTGCTGTCAGCTCATGTATGGAGAAATCAGTGACAACCACGGATGCTCATCTATGGAACATCCCCAGCAGCCTGGGGAGCAGCTGCAGCACAGCAGGATTCAGGGACCCAGACACAGTTTAGAAAAGCACCTGCTGGTAAGAGTTCTGGATACACTACAATACTGCTGTGTATCCCTACCACTGTATGTCTCAGTCTCTGTGTGTCTCCATCCCTCTGTGTCTCCATTCCTGCATGTCTACATCCCTATTCATCTCCAACCCTGTGTGTCTCCACTGCTGTGTGTTTCCCTCCCTGTGTCTCTATCCTTGTTCATCTACATTCCCTTATATCTCACAGGATTTAACAGTTCCCAAATCTACGGAAAGGGCGGATTTCTTCTTTCTACTATGAAGACAATCCTTTTTTTGAGTATGAGGTCTGTGGATACCTTTCCTTTTTACCCATTCAAGTCCTCCCGACCAAAAATTGGTAAAGAATTTGTATTAGAAAGATACCAGACCATACCAGGAGAAAGGAGATGTGGGAAATAAGATATCCCCCATACTTGTTTTCTTATCAGTAATTCAAATATAAATTTTTGATACTGTTAATCATTATTTTCAGGATCCATGAAAGATTTAACACATCACCGTATTCCTCTCTCATTTTATATCAAAAGCAAATACATGAGAATTAATACAGAAAGTGAAGATGTTTTCAAGGCATTAGACAAAAATGATATTTCCTTCCAACATAGTAAGATGTATATTTTTCATTTTTCATTACAGGACAAGTCTTCTGGTAGGACATTTTACACACACACACGCACACACACAGAGAGAGAGAGAGAGAGAGAGAGAGAGAGAGACAGAGACAGAGACAGAGAGAGAGACAGAGAGAGAGAGACAGAGAGAGACAGAGAGAGACAGAGAGAGAGAGAGAAGCACCATCCTTTGATTTCTTAAAGTCTTTCAGAGTGGGGGCAAAGGAAATACCCTGAAAAATGGAAGGCAAAGTTCACTCACTTTAATCCTTGCTGCCCTGACATTCTTGGACTCTGCTCACAGGTGCCATAGTCTACACATGTGGAAACTGTATGCCATTGTAAACTATCAGAGCAGTCTATGTCAAGCTCAAAGGTTCTAAAATAACTCAAATACATAATCAAGACACCAAAACCATTTTTAAAGGTCACAAAGAACCCTTTCTGCACATTATCTACACCACGGAGCAGTAGGATGGAAACACAGACAAGTGCATTGGTTACAACTCACTCTGGGAAATGGGTAGAAGACACAGTTAATCCTGAAAGTAGGGTTTCCCCTTTAAGTCTAGTAACATCCTATGTCCTGGTTGTGACACTGAACTCAAGCTTACATTACTAAGTTCTGACATCTACTGACTTCTGCTGTTTTGTGTTCTGGACAGAAATTTTGTCCCAGGAGTCCACTGTGCAGCAAAGCCTGTAACACAGACAAGGAATGGGAAAGACAAATAGTTTAACATTTCCATGAGTTTTCAAAGAATAAATACAGCTATAACATCAAGTTCAATATTAACTATAATCCATAAATATATTTACATTTGCAAAAATATTTAGAAAAAATATTCTCACCAAGTTTAGTCAGTCCAACAAAGTAGTCTCCTCCCCCACACTCAGAAGATTTAGGATTGAAATGATGGGGTTTCCCAACTACTAAGATGTGGACTCTCTAACTAGACTACTCCAGGTCCTCCTTCTCTCCTAGTCCATAACCCTGTAAACACTATATTTAAAACAATACTACTGATAAATAGTAACATTATTTTCTTACTTGTTTCCATTAAAAAACTGTTGTGATTATGGGAGTGAGAAAGTCTACTTGGACACACTTTCCTGCAGAGAAGTTTGACAAAGCCAGTATGGCTATGGACATCACATGGTTTCTCTATCTTTTATTTTCCTGATATAAACTATATATCACAGTCCCCGATCCTTTCCTTATTTCCTTATTGGGCAGAGTCACAACTGTTTGTTTTTCATCATATCATCTAGCTTTCCCCTATCCCCTGGGATTCTTCTCACCATTTATTTCCCTCAAATAACATGTGACTGGGGAAAAACCCCCGATGACTCACTGACCTTTTGCTAAAACTAACAGGAAAGTTCACATCTTTTGCTCCTGGAAGGAAAATCCTGGGCAGCAACTGGTTAGAGATTACAGCTGGGGAAAGGACATTGTAAGAATCACTTCAGTTGCTACAGTTGGAGACCCTAATAACAGTGGCAGACAGGACAACTTACTGTAAGTCCATAATGAGGAATGTTAATGTACTGAATCCATGAGAGCCCGGGAATTAAACTTCCTGAAAATACTGACAGACCTGAGAAAAACTGTGAAGGGCAAAACCACGAATTAGGACCAGTCCAGTGACTAAAAATTCTAGGCAATATTCTTCCCTCTTCAAGACCCTTCATCCTTCTGACCATATCTGCTCAGACCAACTCTTTAAAACGTTCTTTCACTTAACTGTCAACAGAATGCTTTACTCTTTGCAGTAGTAAGGCTCCTTGCAGGTTTTAAAAGAATAATTAGTCACACTACTCTGTAGGAGCCAAACTTACAGCTATTACATAATCTTTTAAATGGCAGGCAACCTATGAATATTCCTTAAATTTAAGTACACCATCCTATGCATTTAAATCCTCTTTAGATTCTTCATAAATTCTAATTTATACAGATATTATGAATGATGAACTGTTGGGGGAAGGGTCACTGTTTGTTGATACTGGGCCACCTTGCCCCAAAATAATCATACAAAAACTGTATTAATTAATTCACTGGTTGGCCCATTAGATCTATCTTTTTATTGGATAACTCTTATATATTAATTTAACTCATTTCAAGTGACCTGTGTATGGCCACGTGTATGTGGCTTACTGGTTAAAATTCCAATGTCTGTCTCTGGCAGAGCTACATGGCTTCTCCCTCTCTGCCTTTCTTCTCTTAGCGTTCAGCCCAGTTTTCCCCGCCTACCTAAGTTCTGCTCTATCAACTGGCCAAGGCAGTTCTTTATTCACTAACCAATAAAAGTAACATATAGACAGAGGGACCTCCCACACCAATGAAATAAAATGAACAAGGGACAGCTATGAAATTCATATAAAACTTGCCCTATCCGGTCTTGGATAAACTAGAATATGCAAAACAATGACTGTGTTTGCATGAATACATACTGCACCTGACCAAATGGTTACAGAGAAAACACAACATTTGTTTTTGAAACTAATTCTAAGGTCACATATAGATACTTTTTACAATAATAATTTGTTTTAGGTCCTTTCCTATGGCTGTGATAAAACAGCATGACAACATAATAAGTCAGGAGCTTTTCCAAGTACAAATTAAAAATATAATGGGAACGAAATAACGGAAACAGTCTCATTCACAATAACCTCAAAAAAGTAGGGTAAGGGGAATCTTGGAATAAATCTAACCAAATAAAATACTTGTACAATAAGAAGTTTAAGACACTGAAAAAAAATTAGAAAAATACAGACCACCAATGTTTAGATTTCCTAGGATAAAAATTATGAAAATGTCTATCCTACCAAAAGCAATTAATAGATACAATGCAATCCCCATCAAAATTTCAATACAGTTCACAGAAATTGAAACAATAATATTAAACTTTACACGGAAATATAAAAGACCCAGGTTATGGGAACAATCCTTAACATCAGCAATGAACCTGTCAGAGGTATCACCACCCATTGGAGAGAGAATTCATCCCCCTGTTGTGTGAGGAACAATTTATCCTCTCTATTGATGAGCTCCTGCATGGAAGGAAGAAGTGACCATGAATTCCTACCCCTAGTGAGGAGCTATTGACAGTCGATGGCTACTGGGAGGGGAGAGCCAGTTTTCTTTAAGGATGTGACCCCTGAGAGCCTTCCATGGTCCAGTAGATGACCCTCCATGCAGGCATGTATGGGCACAGCTAAGAAGATCCAGTGGTTTACAAAAAGCAAAACAAAGAATGAGACAGGGAGGGAAGAATGGTGAGAGTGACAAGAAATGTAGCAGTTACTTCCCTGCTGTGAGACACAACATCACAATCAAGGCAGCTTGCAGAAAAAAAGATTTTCTTTGGCCTTGGGTTTCCATAGTGATAAGAGGGCATCTTGGCAGGGAGGCATGACAGTGGGCAGCAGGCAGCAGGCAAGGAAGTGGGAGAGGAAACTGAATGCTCACATCTTCACATGACAGTGCAAAGCAGAGCAGAAAGAGGAAGGTGGACATGACTATAAACACCCAAAGACCCTCCCCTGTCCTGCAACAGTCTCTACCTCCCAATGGTTCCACAATCTGTCCAACATCAGCTCTGTATGTAATTAACGGAGGTGAAAGACTAAGACTGGGTAATCCATTCCAAACTTTGAGCAGAAGTGTGCTAATACAGGAGACTCATTAGTACTTAGGAGTCTGTACTTATAGTTAAGTTAATTAGTACTTACAGTCTTCCACTATATCTAACACTTTTCAGAATACAAGTGAGCCCTGAAATAGACTCTTAGTACTGAACAATTACTTTGATCATTAATGTAGAACATTTCTTTAAGATGTGCTATACATGTTTATGCTGTCAAACATTTGTTTAATGATACAAAATATGATGCTTTCTTTTATGTTGCTTTTGTTTAACTTTGCCAAGTTGTGATACTTTGCCTGTCTACACTCCTGAATGTTATAATAAAGAGCTGAAGGGCCAATAACTTGGCAGGAAAGGATAGTCAGGGCTGTGAGGCAGAGAGAATAACTGGGAGAAGAAATCTGGGAGGATGGAGGAACAAGAAAAGGAGAGGAGGAGGATGCTAGGGGCCACCCAGCACACAGCCACCGATTCACACCACCAGCCATGGAGTAAAAGTGAAAGTAAGATTCACATAAGTGGGAAAAGGTTGAAAAACCCACAGCTGACTTGAGCTAGTGGAAGCTCACTGATCACTAACTGACAGCTGGGAAACCTGCATAGAACCAAATTCGGATCTCTGAACGTGGCTTACAGATGTGTGACTTGGGCAGTCTGTGGGACCACTATCAGTGGGACCAGGATTTAGACCTAGTGCTGGAATGGACCTTTTGGAGCACATTCATTTCAGAAGAATACCTTCCTCATCTTTTATATGGAGTGGGGGACAACAATGGTCCTGCCTCAAAGTGATGTGCCAGACTTTGATGGCTCCCCATGGGGAGACTTACCCTCTCTAAGGAGGAGATGAAGGGTGGGGTGGGGGGGAAGTAGGAGGATCTGAAGGAGGGGAGGGAGTGGGAACTAGGATTGGTATGTAAAATTAATCATTCATAAAAATAAATAAAAAAAGGAAAAAGCCCAGAGGCAAACGGTACATGGGATAATTTAAGTAAAGTCATAATGACTAGAGACAAGCCAAGTTAAGACTAGGCATTTATAAGTAATAATAAGATTCAGTGTGATTTATTTGGCAGCTGTGTGGTGGGTGCCCAAAAGAGCAAAGAGTACAGGGTAAAAATAAACCATGAACTATGCTTTGCCATTAGAGACTACTGAATAAACCAAATCACCTCTGCTATGATTAAAAGAGCAGGCAAGTCTCACACTGGCATTACGGGAAGGCAGCAATCTGTCTTGTTGTTGGGGGAATCAGCAAATCATACCACTTTCTTGAAGTACTAATTGATTATGGTTTTGTAATATGTTTCCAAGAAATGTCTGATAAAATCTCCCCCCAAAAATGCAAGTCATCCACATCATAGGAGTGATACCAGGGCAGTAACCACAAAGCATAGGAGTACAAGGCAGCTCCTTCTCTCCTACAGACCATAATATGCTTGAGCATAAGGCCTCATGTTCCAAGTCCTGATGAGTCAAGCAGGTTACATGTGAAAGAAAGAACACAAGGAATTTTTTCCTCTCAGAAAAGCAGAATTCACACTCACCAGCATGAACATTAAGTAGATGGCCACAAAAGGTATTGTTGGTACAGCCCCTGCAATCTGCCCTGCCCCTATAGACAGTGGCAGGGAACTGGTAGATGAAGCTAACACCATGATGGTAAATATCATAGTGAAGAAACCCTTCACATCTGTGTTTACTCCTTAGAAAGAAAAAATTAGGGTGAGTTCATCTACGTAAGTCAGGAGATTGTACATATTTTAAATAACGCTTTAATAATCAACAAGACTAGTAACAGTTTTACAGCCACCCAACATCTCTGCGTCTCTAACAGAGACCTGATCATGTGGATTCTGGGAATAAAATTTGGGGACTTTGGAGGAGCAGCATGTGCTCTTAACAAATGAGCCTCTACCCGGCCCCATCATTTGAATTTATTTTTATACCTGCCACAAAAACACCTTTCCATATAATGCTTGTTCCCCTCTTTACATAACTATGAGCAATTTATAGGATCGTGATATGGACCCCAACAGACAACACAAGTGGCCCCAATTTTATTACAGTTTTTCACAGGAAAATCAGCAATAGAACACATTCATGTCCACGTCCCTCTGTGTTTATTATAATTACATTAGTAATGAAATTGGGATCAGAACTGTGCCAGTTCGTTTTTGTAAATTTAACACAAGCTTGTGTCCTATGGGAAAAGGGAACCTCACTAAGAAAATCCCTTTTTTAGATTGGTGGGGGCATTTTCTTAATAAATGATTTATGTAGGAGGACTTAGACAATTGTGGATGATGCCATCCCTGGGCAGGCAGTCCTGAGTTCTATAAAAAGACAGGCTTAGGAAGCCACGAAGAGCAATCCAGTAAGCAGTTTTCTCCTATGGTCGCTGCCTCACATTTTGCCTCCTGGTTCCTGCCCTGAGCTCCTGACATTGAACTGTTAGATGAAATAAACCCTTTCCTCCCCAGTTTGGTTCTGGTCATGGGGTTTATCACAGTGCTAGAAACCTAACTAAGGTAAGAGTTAAACAACCCTGCAGGGAGGTTTTGATATCTAGAGGAAAGGAGGATGTTATGAAATTTAGATTTCCCTAGGAAGTCACAATATAACTACTATAGGGGCAAGCAATTGGTCCCACAAGCTGATTTGTAATCTTAATGGAGATAATGATATGAGACATGCATAGTCCTGTGTTTAATAATGGTCACAAGGACACAAGATAGAGTCTGGGGGAGCTGAGTTCCGTGCCTAATTGTTTTAAAAGTTAATGTAATTATTTCATGGTATGCACAATGCATGTATGGGTATGATTGTGTATGTACCATGGTGTGCATGTGCCATGGTGAACATGTGCCATGGTGTGTGTATGCCATGGTGTGCTTGTGTCATGGTATGAATGTGCCATGGTATGCATGTGCCATGTTGAGCATGTGCCTTGATGTGTATGTGTCATGGTGTGCAGGTGCCATGGTGTGCATGTGGAGTTGAAGAACATCTTTCTTGAATGATTCTCTCTTCCACTGTGGATTCGGAGGATCAAATTCAGGTTGACCGATTTGCAGGACAAGCACGTTAACCATAACCATCCCATGGCCTAAATGACTAGTTCTGAATAATAAATCTCTTATAAAAATGTCTAATTGCTATCAGTGCTTATCTATATAAGTCTATGTGTGTGTGAGTGTGTGTGTGTGTGTGCATGTGTATGTCTGTGTGAGTGAATGTACATGTCTTTATGAGTGTCTCTGTGTGTGTGTGTGTGAAAAATATTTAAATTCTGAGTAATTAATCTAGGGTGAAGACTATCCATGATGCACAAATGAATCTGTGCACATATTTAAAATAACTTTTTATGTTGCATATTTCAACAAACCTCAAATATAGTGTCCTCTCTCTTTGTAAAATTATGTAATATAAGATATTATACACATTTAAGTTCTTTCTCATATGTACATATGTGTGAGATATTATCTACTTTTATATATTGTGTTTATGTATATAGACACTTATACAAAAACATAGGAAAAATATACAGCTGTGGTAGAGAGATGGCTCACTCATTAAGAGCATGTGCTATTACTGCAAGGCCCTGGATTCCAATCCCAGCACCTACACAGCAGTTCCCATTCTGTAACTCCAGTTCCAGGGGATCTGATGTCCTTCTCTGGCCTCCCTAGGCACTGGATCAACTTCGTATACACACACACACACACACACACACACACACACACACACACACACAGATGAAGGAAAAATAATTCTTTTAAAATAGCTTTGGAGAGATACTAATAATTGACCTTGCTCTACTGGCACTGTCTCAAATGTGTGTGCTATTTCCACACTTATTATAGTGAACAGAATCACTAGTAAAAGCACAGTTTCATAAACGGCTTTTGTACTATTTTGTGAACAAGTCTTGTAGACTGTTCTCATGCTGAACTCCGGATTTGATGGCACACAGTGAGAGGAGCTTTTCTACTCATGCTCTCTTACTTTGGAGTCGCCACAGCTGTACAAACCAAAACACACACCCCCAAGAGTAAAGACGTGTTCTCTTGCCTTGTCACTTACCTGCTATTATGAATACAATAACAGTAAATAAAATACTTGGCAATAACCTCCTGGGTACCAACTGAGCCAGCAATTTCCCAACGAAATACGATGACACTCTGTAGTATCCACTGGTGTGCTCATGTCTACAGAGACAAAGATCGCATTATACATCCTTTGATTAGTCCAGAAGGCACAGGTGAGATGCTGATTACACTGACTTCTGCTACCACAGGCAGCCTAACAGGACAGTGTCCTCTATACTACATGCTGACTCCCACACATGTCCCCATCTTAGGGACCAGCCACTCTAGGTCAACAGTCTTATGAAAGTCTCACTACTATTCTCCCCACCAGAGAACTCTCCCCTCTTTTGTCCTCTCTGGCCATACAACAGGCCTCAAGGGCAATAGCCCGATGTGCCCAGTCTCCCCACAGTCTCTGCTCCTCTGAAGCTGGCTCCCTGAGGAGCAGCTCATTCGTACCTCACCTCAGACATTTGTCATGAAGACTTTTCTCCTTCCAGTTCTTATGAAGAAGGTGACACTGTCACTCTGAGGTCACAGTGCAGCTTCAGGACACCACATCCTTCTCTTCTGCTGCTCTCACTTTAGGACAGATGCATCCTTCAGTAATCTCTCTTTACAACTGTGAATCTTTACCAGATGCCAAACCTGACCCTTTCCCTTCCTGACCCTTCCAAATCCCAAGTTCTGCCCCCTACCTAGTGTCTTCAGTGCATCTCAGTTTTTTGTTTTGTTTTGTTTGATAAAGAATCATCAGTGCAGAACAGCCTTAGATTCCATATGTACCCAAGAATGAGAACTTCCTGCCTCTAACCAGCCCCCAAGTGTTGAGATTAGAGAAATACAGACATGCCCAGGGTTTGTGGTACTGTGACTCTAACACAGGGTTTCATGCACACAGAGCCAGCGTTCTACCAACTGAGGGTAGCCCACAGCTCCTCTCTGAAGATTTCTCTCCTTGACATGTATTTGGAGGCAAATCTTGGAAATCTTTGAGAGTAGGGAATCCTAAGCACAGATCACCAGGAAAAGGTTCTTCCATGTTTGAAAAACACAGGAGATAAACAGTTCTTTTATATGCGGCTGCTGTCTGCTCTTCCCAGCCCTGCATCAAGAGGACCCTGATTCCTGTGCTGCTGCTGAACCCACTACAGCCAAGCTCTATGAAACCCCTGACATCTTTCTTTGGGAGGGGTTGGTGAATTTCCTATTATGTTTAGCCCCCATACAGTGTTGTCTGCAGCACTGCGACCTAGGGGTCACCCCTCAATTTTGAGACTTTCTCTGAGCAGCAAAAACCTCTGCTCTTGATTTTCTAACCATTTTTCAGATAATATTAGAAAATTTTTACATATTTCAAAAATCATGACACCACATGATAAAAACAAAATTTCATAGTTTATTTATTATCAACTAAGTAACTAAGAAAAAGGCGAATTGCTGGTAATTCATGACATAACATTCTAGGTCCAACTACAAATGTAATTAACTAGATCATCCACCTCTGATGCCTGCTTCTGCAGCAGGGGCTACTCACAGAAAGCGATCCCAGTCATCACTGTCAAACGTGAAGAGTGCCTCTGCAATCACACTTATAATACACTGGAAGACTGTGAGGAAGAACAACAAGCCGGCTCTGCCAGGAGAGAATGGAGGCAAAAGCAACAGTAAATTCAACATTAGGATTGTTTCTTTCTAATACACCTAGTTCTGTAGAATAAATAACATTACACAGATCTGTTCTTTTTTTTTTTAAAGCAGTACTGGAGAGATGGCTCAGCAGGAAAGAAGGAAAGAGTGTATGTTGCTTTTACAAGGAAGCCATGTTTGTTTGGCAGCATCTACAAGGTGGATCACAACCATCTATCGCTCAAGTTCAGGGAAGCTTGTGCTAGCTAATGTATGTCAATTTGACATAAGCTAGGGTTACCTGAAAGGAGCAAACCTCATCTGAGAAAATGCAACCCTAGCTTCCTACCTTAAAGAGCAAATTTCCAGATATCAAAGAGATGTTCTTTCACACTCAGCAGCTTGGCTCATAGCAGTCACATGTGAGAGTGAACCACATTCCCGGTCACAGGTGAATGGGAAGCAACACAGCATATTCACACAATGGACTATTATTCTGCCTTATAGAACCCAGGAAATACCCACAAACACCTAAGGACATCACACAGATGGAAACACAGCAATCAAAACAAACAAGAAACCACATCCAAACAACAGGAGAAGAAAGACACTTGTGTGTCTCCATTCAGGGTTCCCACGTTAGTCATGTTCAATGATAGAAACTAGAATGGCTGATGCCAGGAATCGGGAATGGGTGGTATGGGGAGTCTTCTTGAGAGCTGCGGGATTCCACTTGGGAAGACGAACAAACACCCCACATTTTGAGTGTGGTGAGAGTCAAATAACATGAAACTACTACATACAGTAAAACAAGCAAAATGTCATGTGTGGTGTGTGGAGCTTCATACTATCTACACACAGACATATGTGAAAAAGTGAGTTCTTCCACTCAGCCTTCAAACATACTCTTTCACATGATAAAATGTTTACTCTGTTATCTCATGAATTCAATTATTTATGGATTTATATAAGCTTGAACAAAGTGGCAGCATTCTCTCGTTTGCTTACCTGGTCTGGACTTCAGTACAGTCATTTCTTAGGACACGGAAAGTGATACCCACAATCATGGGCATTATGACTATGATAAATGCCTTTCAAAAAGAAAATGGGGAAAAGAAAATTTTCAATTAAGAATAGAAAGTATTCTTCATATTATCCATTGTTTTGGAATGTATAGTTTACTAATCAGATCTCTCCAGTGATATAAACACTATAGTATGGCCAGAGGCCCTGGAAAAATATACAACACACATGTCAACAGTCTGCTCGTATGTCAAACTGACAGTGAAGGTCTCTGCATTCTGAGGCTCCAACAGTGTAGACCCTGGAAAAGCTGAGACTTCTCCCAGTGCTCAACCAGGAATGGCCAGTGAAGGACTCAGTTCAGGTACTAAAACCTGGATGACACAGGCTGGGAGAGAATGCAGGTGCCTGGGGAGGTTAGAAAACAAACCCAGGTAAGTGACAGAAAGTGTTCATGTAAACTAAGGTCTCAACTCTGGTGTCAGTGAACATGTGCAACTTTCTACTTCAAGTGGCTCAAAGTAATTAAGGGTTTATTTACTCTTATAGTTAGAAACAAGTACACACCAGGCCAGGGGGACAGCTCCGTGGCAGAGCCCTGCACAACATACACAAGACACTGATCCCCTCATGTGAAAACCAAACAAATTAAAAATGACTCACAACACAGTCCCTAGCAATGGGATTTTGTGTACTAAGAAGGGGTGAGCTTGTCTTCACGTGTGTCACCTCAGGGAAGTCTGTGCTGTGTGGGAACCAGCACTATTGCTGTCACCAAATATTCATACAGTGTCCTCGGAGTCACCCCAGTCTCCCATTGCCCATCACCTTTGTCACTGCTGCTCCATCAACCTCAGTCAGAACAGCCAGGGCTCAAGTCTCATCTAAGGCGCTAAATCCTCCAGATCCACATCTACCTTCACATACCCAATCTGTGCCGACCATAACAAGGAGCTTGCACTGCTTTGGTTTTGGGTTAAAACGACTTTAAAAGGTGCTTCCATTATCAAATGTGTAAGGCTACATGATGCTGTAACTCATTTGAAAGATCCTAACTATTATTCCTTGGATAATGTTTTAAAAGTAGAATATTAAGATCTAACAGAAAGCATTCTACCATTTAACTTGATAAATCAGAAATGAAAATTTCAGAGCTTGGAGATAAGGCTGAGCAGTTAAGAGCACTTGCTATTCTTGCTGAGGACCCGTGATTCAGTTCCCAGCACACAAATGGCCCCTAACCATTTTATGTAACTCCAGTATCAGTTGATCTGATGTCATCTTCTGACCTCCAAGGGCATGCACACAAAGGGAATTTATACATGCAGGCAAAACACCCACACATAAAAATAAATAAATAATATTAAAATTAGTCCTCAGTTCCTAGTACACACACACACACTTTTTACCCCATGACATTGTCTCACTGCTGAACAAAGACTAACCCAATTTGATGATTGTAACTCACTGTTTTCCAATCATATAGAATCCTTTTTCCAAAAAAATGGACATAAAGATGTCTTTTTATGACATAAGTCCTTAAGTAAAACATAAAGACCAGTATAAATCAATGGCCAGAATATTTACATATTCTGTATATTACATATACATATACACAAGGAAGGAAACAATTGAAATATGAAAAGGGCAGCTCACATATTAAGAACTAAGTGTACAGCCTACAACACACAACCTTTCAGTATTCAACAGAAAGTAAATACCTGAGAATAAAATAACAATGCACTAGGATCAGAAATGACAGTCAGTTCTGGTTGAACAGGGACAGGAATGTAGTTTCACAGTAGAGTGATTTTTTCACTAATGCCTACAAAATCATCATCATGAGATACAGTATAACTCTATTGATGAATATAGTATTGATGAGTATAGTGTATAACTCTATTGATGGCCCAATGAGCTGGAAGAACCACATTTCTGTGTGACATTTATGTTAAAATAACAGAAAATCTTAAGTCATGATGATCCTTGTTACAGAGCCAGTTTAAAGAAAAGCAGAACTTCACCTCCTCCCGGTTCCAGTTGGCTGACAGGGAAGAGCATTGTTTAGTCCAGTTACTGTGTGTGTGTGTGAGCTGCACTCTTTGAGTAGCTGCTGCCTTCACACACTGGACTCCTGACGAGGGAACAGCACTCTGCAGCGGGCTCATCTCAGGCAGTCGATGCTCAGGCTCCCTCAGAGCTGTTCTGTGGCCCTGTCTCCTCACCACATGATTTCAACCACAGACCAACCATCCTTTCCCTCTCCAGTCATCTCCACCCTTCTCTACTTAAACCTTCTCCAAGTCCATTCTCTCATCTGACAGGCTACAGTTCTATCTGTTTATCCAGTTACCATCTATCCACCCACATGGAAAGTTGCATCAGGAAAAAGCTTTTTTCTACTTTATTCTTTCCTAGACTTTGAACTTGTAGGACGCACTGGTGAATTAAAGTAGACAGGTATGAGGAGCTCACAGGTGTGCTGAATTTCTTCTTGCATTCCCTGAATTAAATTTCCTACTTGGATTAGTCATTATAGCTTCTATGAAAAAAAAACAAACAGAAACTTTTTCTGTAAGTAAAAACTTAATCATAATCTACTTGCTCTATTGAATATTTGTCTATGCCAGGCAGAGTGGAGACAACAAACACATGGAAGGGGGCAGAAGACAAATGTGGCCCTGCAATAGACTCACTCAGAAACAAATTGCTCCCACATGAGTTTTCACATACTATTAAAATAATTCATCAGATTACCTGGACCCTAGTGACCCATGGAAAACCCAGGCAATTTTTGAATGAGCGACGAATAATCCACCAAAGCTGATGCCAGAAAGGGGTGACACACGTGATCTCCTCCAAGGCTGAGCTCCTCCCTGACTTCTGTTTCCCCAAGAGTGAATCCAGTTCAGTTCTCATTTCGCAGTATAAGGAGGACTGGGCATACATATTGGCTAATTTTTCTGTGACTTGTTGCTGTATCTCAGAATGATCTTTATGTTCATCAGCTTTGAGATAAAAATGGATAAAGGTAAGAAACATAATAATTCAACTTTTTTTTCTGAGACAGTACTCATGAATAAGACATAAATTATGTATTAGTTTTTCTTTGCGGTAGTCCCATGTACCCTAGGCTGATCTCAAAGCTGCTCTGATGTCAAAGGTGACCTTAAACGTCTCCAGGTCCTCCTGTTTCTTTCTCAAGTGCTGAGATTACAGGCATGCACCCTCACACCCAGTTATGTGCTGCTAGGAACCAAACTCACGGCTTTGTGCACGCTATGCAAGCATTCTACTAGCTAAGCTACATCTTCAGCCCACCAAACTTTGAGCATAATGAAATTACTCCTGTGTAATTCTTCTCAGATTAGAAAAGTGTCCCTAACTGACCTGACTACTGTCATTACCCCATGGACACAGCAATCTGATAGGCCTTTTCCCACATGGACCCCAATTCTTAACCAAGTCCTCCTTCTCTTATGGATCTATACTTCTCTTTTTATTTTTTTCTATATTTCTTAATACAACAGTCTGGTCCATGCTTTCTGTCACTTGTGAATGTATAAACTGCCAAATATCTTGTTTTTGAAATAAACAAAGTCAGGATGTTGACATAGCCCTGTAATATCTACACTTAGGAGGTAATGTAGAAAGTGCACACATTTAAGGCCACTCTGAATAAATAAGCAAACCATATCTAAAACAATGAAAAGAATGGCATGGCAAACAATAGCTACATTAACTTTTAAGCAGAAATTTCCTTTGTGACAATATCATATAAATTTTCTTTTGTAAATTAAATTGAAAAACACCCAGAACTAACAGACAGCAAAGTCTATTAGTTAATTTTAGACACTAAATTAACATGAAAGCTATTTCTCATGAGACACTTGGTTGTGAGACAGGGGCCATGATACCAGAGGACATGGCAGAGGAGCAGCAGGTGGTAATTGAGGTTACGGGAGTCGAACAAACCAGGAGGAAATCCCTTGATGAATAATCTCAGTTAGGCAAAGCCCCCCCTCCAGACCACAGATCCCTGGTTGTCTTTTGCTTCTGATTCCCCTTTGCCTGCTTGCTTTTGCTATCCTCCTCTGATATCTAACATGGTTGAATTGGGTGTGGGAAAATTCCACACTGCCTGTAAGATAATGTTTATCTCTTTGAAAACATCATGTTCTTCTGGAAAATTTTACCTGTGAATTATTATGAAGATGACTTTGTCCCTAAGCTGTACCTTCTAACTGATAATAATATACAGAACTTTCAAGAATAGAAGTATATATAAAGTTAGTTATGCTTTTCAGTCAAGACCTTTGAGCTCCACCTGAGAAACTACTTTAGATAACAGCTCAACTTAACGATTAAAGAAAAATTGAATTCTCTAGGAGTCAGACTGGCCCTAATTCTCTTCATGTTTAACAGATAAAGACACAGGTCTTGGTATCCGTGTACCCATCCCTGTTGTCAATTCTCCTGATATAAGAAATTATTGACAGATAGGTATACGCCCTGAGGATCTAAGCACAGCAGACTGATTGTCTTTTATGTACAAAAGCTTCGGTTTGTGATTCTCTTATTATTCCATGTGACACTGAATTTATAGTCATACATTAGAATAGGCACAGTATATGCCATGCCAGTCGGCAAGGGCGTGGTCTGTGAAGAGACAATTTCTCCCTGCTTAGGCTCTGTTGATCTTCAATATGTTACTTAAGACATAAATGTATATGGGATATTGGAATGACCTTGCTTTTAATCCTGTAAGAGAGATGGAAAACATGTCACCTGTATGCAACCACTTTATCAAACCCACTTTATCAAAACCACTTTACAGGATAGAGATTAAGATAAACAAATGTTTTTGGAAGTACTTTGATTCTGAAGAATCCATGTGAAGGATAATGATTGTTTTATTAAGGGAGTCTTGTGGCCATCCCATGACCTTGGTCACAGGACACCTCAGGCATACCTGGGGCTCTTAAATTATTTCTGTATTGCACACAATGCTTAATGAAATACTAGAGTCATGGAGGCATGTGATGCTCCCTTCACAAAGACATGTAGATTAAGTTTGGAGACCTTGGATTGAAGAAATTCTTTATGTAACAATTAATAAACATGCTTTAGTATGGCTCTGATGACACAGCCAGATTCACCCCAGTCAGTCCATCAGATGAGGCTGATGAATAAAGAAGGATATGACCAACAGAATGTGTGAGAGTCTTTCTTCCTAATCCCTTAGATAGAAAAGGTCTTAGCTTCACCAGCCCCATGGTTTCCCTCTAAACACTGAGCTGTCTAGAGGCTGATCCCTGAGGCAACAATCGTTGTATTTTAATGAAATAAATTAGGTAAAAATCTGTGACTCTAGAAGACTCACATACCTTCATGGCCGTCTTCCTCTGTGTCTAATAGAGCACAGAAATGATGTCCACTAATGATGTCCAGGAAGAAGTCTGCAGGGTTATTGTCGGAATCATAGTTGTAACCTACAAAGAAGGTGGACCATGAAGAGAAATATGAGGACCCTCTTTCAGAGAATGGGAAAGTAGGGTAGAGGAGACAGAATCTAAGAACTTCTTCCTCTTCTTGCCACTCCTGTCCACTATCTTAACCTTTTCTATTATATATACACTCATAGTATTTCAGCAATCTCTGTTTCACAGAACATTGTATACATGTGTGTGTTTATGTTGGTGTTATACATACATATACACATACACATATATAAAACACAGACACAGACAGATTAGACATAGCCTAGACATAGACAAAGACTACAAGACATTCACATAGACTAGACATGAAAGTAGACTAGACATAGATCTGGTCATAGAGGTAGACTGGACATGGGCATAGAATAGACGTAGACTAGACATAGATATATGAACACTTTCTGTGAAAGAATCACTTGAAATTGGCCTAAATTTTTATTGAACTCCATAGACTCACAAATGCTCACACATTTTTAAATGATAGCAAATATTTAAACCTATATTTGTACTCAAAGTAAATCATTCATAAATATACCCATATTTCTCTAAGATGAAATTGATGACATGACCCATTAAAATATGTCATCATCCAATCTGACTGAAAAAAAACAGGCAAACAAAAACATGAGTCCACAGAAGCCAGACTTGAGCCACTGCAACCTTCAGTCATTGCCTAAACCTAAAACAGAAAGTTACTGCTAAGTCACGTAACCTCTCCACAGCTCCTCTGAGTCAGGTCACACTAGGGAAAACTGAAAATCACCGTCTTCTGCTTGAGCAAGAACACAATGATGCTGGGCCTTTCCAAAGCTGTTCAAGTGTTGGATAACTGGGCCTGAGGCCAACATGTTAATTAAGAAGGTCACAATGAATAGGAAGCAGAATAAGAAACTCAGTAAATATGCTGAAACACAGGCATGATACAGGACAGGAGATAGGAAGGAGACCTGCACAGCAAGCCTGTGCTACACAAATAGCAGAATCCTGTCACCAAATTAACCGAAGGTATTTAAAATGGAGAAACCCACACATTGTAAGACTGCATGAGGGCCAAGCAGTATTCCTGAGAACCCCGTTCTCTCCCCAGATCCCATGAATGAAGGAGCTCTCACAGAAAAGCCAGCCATACCTGCAGATTTGAAGTACTCCAAAGCCCCCTGTGCAGGCCCGTGAAACATGACTTTTCCTGAGGCCACTAAGGTGAGGCTGTCAAACAGTCTGAAGATGGAGTACTGGGGCCGATCAATGGAGAAGATGATTGTCCGTCCCCTCATAGACATCCTAAGTTTAAACAGAAAAAAAGTCATAAGTCACTGAACAGAGGAACCTTGAGATTCTTGACAAAATATTTGTACTCTCTGTTCCCATTTCAGCTTGAATTCTCCTTAAAGACACCTCATCTTGCTTGTGTTATGCACCTGATAGAGAAACAAAGATCCAAGCTTTTTTTTTTAGGATTAGGACTTCTTGAAGTGTGGAACATCAGTAGTTCAAAGTCCACTCGAGTGTTACTGGCCCTGCATAGTCTTCTAGACACCGAATAGAAATATCTAGGAGTCAGTGCAGGGAATCCATATCATAAGCAGGCAGCCCAGGTGATTGACAGGTTCACTCAAGCTTGAGAAGCAAAGAAAACATTACAACTATGACTGTGAGCACAATTCCCCCTCAATGATTCACACTTTCTGTCTCTTCACAAATTGGTGTTCACTGTTCTGATTATGTGACTCACATTCCTAACCACTTGCTTTTCTGCTAAACACTTCAGCAATAACCTCATTTTACTTTTCACAATATCAACATGAGGCAATTCTAATACAATTTTCTCCTTTGTGTTGATAAGGTCTTGTGGGATTTAATTCCATTTAGCCAATGACTTTTGGGGAAGCAAGGCCTAGAACATGGTCTTGTCTGCATAAGTGACCTCTTGTGAACTGAGAGAGAGGGGCCATGCTCTTTCTATTGCTGTATCTTCCTCCCTCCCCACACCCCTCTCTCTCAGAGAGTGAGCAAGCAACAACTGGTTCATATGCCCCTGGGCAGAATGGCAGGAGACAGACACTGGATCATGGCAAAATCTAATTTGTTTTGTATCAGTGACTGTTTATCCCCATTTTAGACCTTAATAAAATCTTGAGATTCTTCAACGTAAGTCTTAAAAGGTGAAGCAACAGTTCAAGAGGTCAGTTAGTGAGGGGAAAAACTGGGATTGGAAGTTGGTTTAATTACATGATAGGAAAAATAAACTGAATGACTATTTCAGGAAGTCATATCTTACGTTAGGAGAACCAATAACCCAAAACAGTACATTAAAACTTCTTTGAAAATATGGTTTTAAAAGCTGGGAATGGTGGCATATCTGTACTGGACTGACCAGCTCAGTTACCACTCAGGCACATGTCCAGGGCTTTGAGTTTTGCCCAACCCAACATGTACCCCATCTGTGACCTGATGTAAGGCATGTAGGGTGTGCTGAGGGTGAAGTGTGGATATGGGGGGACTGACTGGGAGTTGCATGGTATTGGGGTGCATGATGTGAAATTCCCAAAGAATCAATAAAGAATTATGTTTTGTTTAAAGCTGGGTATGGTTTCATATCTGTAATATCCCAGAACTTGGGAGGACCAGGAGTTCAAGGCCCACCGAGATTACTTAAGACTCTGTTTCATTAACACATACAGAAAGAACAAAAAAGTGAGAGTGAGGGAAGAACAGATTAAGGAATAAAGGGAGGGGGTAGGGAGAGAGGAAAGGAGGGAAGCAAAAAGAGAGAATGAGCGATCAAGGCATGGTAGTGCACACCTTGAATTCCAGCAGGACAACCTTGGTAACCAGGAGATAAGAGCACAATAATGGCCTAATAGCCGATTGTTTTCCTGACAGACTATTCATAAATCACAAGAGAAAAAGCTAAAATTTAGTATTATATAACCAGGAACCACAAACACACTAAGATGTTCAAAATTCAAGCAAGGCAAGCAATATGGCTCAGTGGGTAAAGGCACTTGATGCCAAGTCTCAAGACTTGATCTCCATCCCCAGAACCAACTGTGTGAAAGAAGAAAAGCAAGCCCCTCAAGGTTTCCTGTGACCTCTAAAAACATGCTACACACACACACACACACACACACACACACACACACACACACGATAGATAGATAGATAGATAGATAGATAGATAGATAGATAGATAGATAGATAGATA